CCCACACACACACACACACACACCCCACACACGCCCACACACACGCGACACACACACGACACACACACACCCACGCGAGCGAGACGCAGGCGCGCGTCCTTCGCTACGCGGCTAACGTCCCCCATTTCTTAGGCAACCGTGTCTGCAATCACGGCCATAAAATATTGACTCCCTGCCGCTGTGAATTATTACTCCGGGCCAAATTCAATTATTAATCCCGAATCGATATCGTTTGCCGTAACGATACAAGGATACGCATATATATATATGTACCGCAAAACCGCTGTGTTGTTGCTATAGTTATCGCTCTTAGCGCGACGCGCAATCTAGCTCTGACAATAGGCTATAAATAGGCTGCGCACGCTGTGTTGTGTGTGTGTCGTGTGTTGTGTGTGTGGTGTGTGTGTGTGTGCGCGCGCGCGCGCGTCGTGTGTGTGTGTGTGTGTGTGTGTGTGTGTGTGTGTGTGTATGTGTGTGTGCGTGTGTGTGTGTGTGTGTGCGCGCGTGTGTGTGTCTGTGTCCCTATACTATATATATAGTACTATATATACTCTCTATATATAGCTAAAATAATCAGGCTAATTACCTGAAACTTTAATCATATTTTACAAACGCCGCAGCTTTGCGTATCGCAATATCCCGTTTATGACGTCACAGTTCATTGCCGAGGCCAGAGGGACGATTGCGATGTCTCGTCTCCCTTTTCCCGCGCACTCACGCTCTCTCTTGAGCGCGTTCTCTCTCTCACTCTCTCTCGCTCTTTCTCGGTCTTTTTCGCGCTCTGTTGCGCACTCTCTCTCTCTCTCTCTCGTTCGCCCTTTTTTTCTCACGGTCTTTCTCGCTTTCTCGATCTCTCTCTCTCGTTAACTATCTCTCTCTTGCTCTCTGTCTCTCTCCTGCGTGGGCGCTCTCTCTTGCTCTCTGTCTCTCTCGCGCTCTTTATCTCTCGCGCTCACTCTCTCTCTCTGTTTTTCCTTCTCTCTCTTTTCGCTCACTCTCTCTCTTCCCTTCTCCCTCTACCCCTCTCTCTCTTTCCCTCTCTCTTCCTCCTCCCTTCTCTTTCTCTCCCAACGTTGAGTGGCTGCAGCGTATACGTGCATACATACGATATACATACTCTTGCCAGCACAAATCGTATCTCGTACGCCATCGAGGTTCTTGGGAATATATGGGTCAGGCCAGCTGCCCCTGGTTTACTTCTCATCCACCCCCCCCCCCTTCCCCCACTCCCACTCATCATTACGGCGTCACAACATGTTTGACAACGAAGCACAATAAATAGGATAAC